TTAAGTATTTTCTTTAATTATTTAAGATTTAATTGAATAAAATTCAGCAATTTGCCGAGTAATTTCGGCAGCACTTGGCTCCCCCCCCGTTGGATGGGGTTAAGCGAAGTATCACCCGAATCACAAAGTCGAATAAAGTCGACTCCCCTTTCTTGTAGAATTTTAGATAATTATTTTGATTTTAAATTTATTTTAAATGACAAATTATTACTTAAAACAAATTTACAACTTAAATTATTTAATAAAACAAAATTTCTAATATTGATTAATTTCAATTTGGTCAACAAGATTTATACAAAATTTTCTCATCACCGGTCGGATAGGAAGACTTGTATCCGCCCGGCTACGCACCGCCCTCCCCTAACCTAGGGTTAGGGTTTTACCCTAATTAGGGTTTCCCCCAATTAGGGTTTTAGGGTTTTGCGCGCTACCGCACGCCACCACGTCCAACTTCTCGAGGCATAAAATTTTCCGTCGGTTTGTAGTTAGTCAAAAGCCGGGTTCCCTCGGATCACTTTTGCCGCAGACTTCTGTTTCCGTTTTATTTTTATAAAAATACAAAGAAAATCATTAATTCCTTTTAATTTTCCCCTCTTTTCCTGTCTGTTGGCGGTCAACACTCTTCCAAACGGAGTCCGTTTTCCCCGACTAAGGTCTCAAAATGTCGGGAAAAATACAAGGACCAACTTTGGTCTGGGCGGGGTTCACCTAATTTCGCTCCCTTTCTTCGTAATTAAAACAAAAAGAAATTCATGATTTTCGGAATTTTAATTAGAAAAATACAAAAAATTCCATATCTCCTTTTCTAGCCATTAAAAGTTTTCAAAAAATGTCTCAAAACGTTCCCCTCGACGAGAGGTCAAACCTTGCTCCCGGTGCGCCTCGCGCAAAAACGCGCGGATCGGGAGATATCGAAAAAAAACGAATTAAATATTTAGACTCATGATTTTAGAGGTTTTTAATTAGAAAATACAAAAAATTCCATATCTCTTTTTCTAGCCATTAGAATTTCTCAAAAAAAGTCTCAAAACGTTCGCCTCAGCGAGAGGTCGAACTTTGCTCTCAGTGCGCCTCGCGCAAAAACGCGCGAATCGGGAGATATCGAAAAAAAAACGAATTAAATATTTAAACTCATGATTTTTGAGATTTTTAATTAGAAAATACAAAAAATTTCATATCTCTTTTTCTAGCCGTTATAATTTCTCAAAAAACGTCTCAAAACATTCGCCTCGACGAGAGGTCGAACCTTGCTCCCGGTGCGCCTCGCGCAAAAACGCGCGGATCGGGAGATATCGAAAAAAAACGAATTAAATATTCAGACTCATAATTTTAGGGGTTTTTAATTAGAAAATACAAAAAATTCCATATCTCTTTTTCTAGCTGT